CTGCCATAGCAATTGGTTTTTAAATATGTTTCCTTTTCTACTAAACTGTGAACCCCTGGAGAGCAGAGACCATGTGTTAGCACAGAGCCTGGCATTTGGGAAACACTCTTGATAAATGTTTCTGGAAATGAATAAATGGACTTTGAGTGAAAAGGGTCTAGGAACCACACTAATGTTATATGTTAATTGTGAAGGAAATCTTCAGCTAAGTGATCCCTTCATTGCTGACTCTACTGGCAAGTAATCAGAAGCACATACAGAGTCACAGGAAGACATTTTTGATGTGGGTTTTGTTCTTATTCAGTTAAAAGAGGAGATTAGGTCATCTGAAAGCTTTGCTTTCAGGTCTCATCTGTGGATCTGAATACTGAGTGAAGACTGGAGAGAATTATTTTTGCAGAACTGTCATTTCAATAATTTATAAAAACCTAATGATTTACTATCAGGATTAACCATGGAGGTATCTGAGGCACATGGGGGTTCTATCTGGGTAAGAATGTCTAATTAGCTTAGTGACAAACCCACCTGTTTCCTTATTCTCCCACATTCAGAGATTTCTGCTTTGACTCTTGTCGGAAACGTGGGTGGTTTTTGGTAAGAGAAATAATTTAAAATTTACTACTTCGTGACCCTAGTAAGGAGAGTTTACACCTCGTGCCACTTAGCCCAGATATGCTGACTTAAGAGTAAGTGTTTAGACAGTGCGGGTTTTAATCTAGCATACCACGGCACTGGAGGAAAAATTCTTTAACTCTGCATTTGGGTAAAGACCTGCCCTAGGAACTTAGCCAAGGGATGCCTGGGAATTCTTTCATCAAAGAGCATTTATCAAGATTTGAAAATCGCAAGCTCTTACCTGGAAAGGCGCAGGTAGAGCTCATCTGTGGGGAGGGCTAGTGGTAATAAACAAAGGGTGTGGAACATGGAGGCACTGTCCCCCAGTTTCAGGTTGGCTTCCAGACTTGAGCTCCTCGAACCCAAGAAGGCCCGTTCGACCAACTCCTAAACTGGACATCACCATCCCTCTCAAAGGGCTCCTGGGAAGACAGCCTGAGGTGATGCTCACGGAGTGCCTAATGTAAGACATGGTACTCCAGGATTTACCATATAGGTGGTAAGGCCAAAGTCAGGCCTTTAAAAGATATATAGTTTTGCATGACCAGGTAAGAAAATAGCCAACAGTATGAATCACAGAGCTCTGGGAAGGAGGGGAAAAAATGGACAGTCACAGGTGGAGGTAACAAGGAAGCTTCCTGGAAGGGGCAGAATTTGAGTCTGAGGCTTGAAAGTGGTGGGAATGAGATGGACAAGGGGGAAATGAGTAGAGCAGGCCAAGCCCTAAAGACATGGAAGGACTACCTAAGGAGAACACAAAGGGCAAATTCTGGTAATTTGCACAGACTGGTCTTGCTGGAAACATTTTTTTGCGTATTGGAATAGCTAAACATGAGGCTTTTGGTAAATGGTAATGGGGCTTAATCAACTCATCTTTATTTTGTAGATAATGGAAAGCCAGCGAAGGTTTCTAGGCAAGGAAGAGCACGGCCAAATATCATCTAGAAAGCCTGCAAGTCTACAACATTCACGTTAGTGTTATGAGCCATGCTGCTGTGAAAAAAAAAAATTCCCTTTCATTACACTAATACTTAGTAAATCACTGAAGACCTACTTCAGAACTCCAAGGAAAACATTTTATGAATCAAAAGCTAAGTACAATATGTTAGCAATTAAATGAGATAACATAACAGCCGAGGCAGAACCAGTTTTCCCCACCACGATTTCAAGCTGCTGCAGAAAGAAATGCTTATATCATCTTCCAAGTTATCAAGCCATTTTGTTTTGATTTTCAGAAGGCGGGGAGAGAGGAAGCGAAAGAGGATGGAGGTCAAGAGAATTCAAAGCTGTCTATTCTTTAATCAGGAGGAATTATTAAGGGGACTTATGAAGCAGATCTGCTCAGAATAAAACTAGCCCTGGGATGGGTCTGAAGTTACTATAACAGGCTTCTACTCCAGAACAACGAACGAAGGTGTGTCGTTGGAAAGAAACACCCACCAGTGTTCTCTGCAGCAAAGTTTCCGGTGCATACCTCCCACTGCTACTTTATTTACTGCAGCTGGCCAAAGTTTTATAGCCTGTTTCATGTATTAAAATTCAAATGTGGAAAACATTACCAGTATCCTCCTTGAATTTTTTTGTTGTTGTTGTTGTGGGGGGGGGAGGGTTTTTTTTTCCCCTTCCCCTTCAACTTCCTTTTTATTGTGGAATGTATCAAATGGTCAAAGGCTAACTTCAGACTGACTAAATTCAAAAACTATTTCCTTTGTTCTTATGTTTTTGTTTGAAAATTCATACCAGTTTGCGCAAGGAAAGAAATGACAATCCGATCTGTTTCACACACATTCGAGTTTCAGGCTGGGGAAGTTTAGCCTCCGTGGGTCTACCGGGTATTTCTGGGAAGAAAGGGGGTTCTGACGGTGGCGGGGTGTTGCCGTGCCACATGTTTGGACTTGACTCTACTACCCGGTTGGCTCTGAGGTTGCCCCTGACTGGATTGTAAATGCCTTTAGAGAAGGGAGCAGGAGCTTTTCCTCCTCAGCAAAACTAGCAGCTTTCTAGCTTCGGCAGAGCGTTTTCAAAACCAAATCAAAAATGTTTCTGTGTAATATTGGCTGATTATTTCCCTTCTTCTATTATTGCTCTGCGCCATCCTCTCCCTGGCCACTCCAGCCAGGTCAGGCCAACTTCCCGTCTCCAGAGATGATTCTGGTCCCTTCCTCCCATCCCACCTTTGAATCAGACTCAAGGGGGAGGCAACCCAAAGGTCAAACAGTCCCCCCAGAGCATCTATGTGTAGTTTATTATTTTAAAGAACCACTTAACGTACATCTGGTATTTAAGAGCAAACTTTACATATTTATGGAAAAAAACTGTTTCTGAAGCAATGCGCCCGTTCAACATATGCAAAACGAACACAGCTCCAGAAATTAAACCATTTTTCTCTTGATTGAGAGCAGATATAGAGCAATGGTTGTAAGTCACAGATCTGGCTTTTAATAAAGCCAGATTTCTTAATTAAAAGCAGTATTGTTTAAACATTGTAGTTTAAAAAGAAAAGAGCTGTACAAACTAAAACCTCATATTATATGCATCCCAAGTGTATTTAACACATTACCTGAGGCCAAGCTAAATTAACATCTATATTTTCCTTTTGTAAACTCTTAGCAACTGCCATGAATAGACAAACAATTTTTACTTAATGATGAATTTTTAGGATAGAGGTCAAGGAAAAAGCAAAAAAGGAAAAAAAAAAGATTGAGCTTTGGCATTCAGAAATATCTTTCCACGTTTCAGAAGTGAGTTCATTGCTTCTATTTATAAACCAGTATTTTGGGTTTCAAATTGGTTGCAGGTTTCCGTAACACAATGCTCAGGATGGTCCCCTCAATCTCAGTCTTTTATTAAGAGAAACTGAAAGGAGGACGGAAGAATCCTATTGAGCAAGAACTTAAAAAGCCTCAGAAGAACCTGTGCCTATTTTGCATTCCGCTTTTGGAATCATTGGTAAACAAGAGATGCTATGTTGGTAACAGAAGGTAGACCTTCATCCAAGCAACTTTTTAAGAGCCTACAGGTACAAAAGAGGACACTAAGGTGTTTGTTGATCAAGCAGGAGTTTATAAGAAGCAGAATACACAAAATCATTAGTAATACATTCTCCACCATTCAGTCACCCTACTGTCATCACTTAACATTTTGTTAAGAAGATTCTGAATTTTGGGGCACTTGGATGGCACAGTCCATTAAGTCTCTGACTCTTGGTTTCAGCTCAGATCATGATCTCAAGGGTTTTGGGATCAAGCCCCACAGGGGCTCAGTGCTCGGGATGGAGTCTGCTAGGGTTTCTCTCCTGCTTTCCCTCTGCCCCTCCCCATGCACTCATGCTCTCCCTCTCTCTCTCTCTCTCATAAATAAATCTTTAAAAAAATCCAAATTTTCATAATCACTCCAAAAAGGGGATGCATTCCCAAATTGTTTCCAAATGCAATGGGCAGAATTGAAATTCCAGTTGTAATACAGACAGATCTGTTTAAATATTATTTAAATAGACAACTTATTCATAAATAGGCAGTGATAAACTACCATATCTTTAAATCGCACAGTCCCACACCGTATCCTTAGACAGATAAACACACCACATATTCCTACCTCCCACACACAGAATCAAAAGACATTGATTTAGGTTCTTTGATAATAATAACAAACTTTCAACCTCTTCATATGTGAAATGCCAGTAATATAACATGTACAAACAAGCTGGGTCCTCTAGGTGACGTCACTAAGATGAAGAATTTAAAACAACGGCCATGGCCCAGCAATGTCCTCCTAGGTATATACTCAAGTGACATTAAAACACACGTCCACCCAAAAACTTGTATATCAGTGTTCATAGGAGCATTAATCATAATCGTCAAGGAATGGATATAGCCCAAATATCCATCATCTGGTAAATGGATAATAATAACATGTCCCTATACAATGGAATCTTGTTTGGCAACAAAAAGGAATGATGATCTGATACAAGATAAAATATGTATAAAGGCTGAAAACATTACATGAACTGAAAGAAGCCAGCCCATCAGAAAAGACCACCACATATTGTATGATTCCAGTGGTAGGAAATATCTAAGATAGGAAAATTATAGAGACAGAACACAGTAGACATTGCCAAGGTCCAGGGAGAGGAAGGAATAGAGAGTAACTACTACTGGCATGGGAATTTCTTGTCTTTTTTTCAGGGGGTAAAACATCCTAAAATTAGCCTCTGGTGATGATTATATAACCCTGTGAACATACTCAAACACAGGGACTCGTACATTTTAAATGGGCAAAATGCAGGTAAGTAAATGATACAACTCAAGAAACAACAGCAGTGGTATTTACACTTGAAATTCTAATTCTATACAGTAACTGAAGAGTCTACAAATCTCCTCACTTACCATGAGTGAATGTCTGTTGGCTGAAAGAAGACCGGTTCCATACCCTGAGCCCAGACCACCCATTGCTCCATTATGAGAAGGTCCAATGATTCCGTGCATGTCCCCGTGACCACCAGGCATAGCTGTGGACGGGCCCACTGCGTGGTTCCGGAGAACGTGAATAGCATCATCCAGTCTTTCTAAGCGATCTTCAATTCGGCTTTGCTGTTGGTTAATCAATGATGCGAAATTTGATTTAGTTTGAAATGCGTGCATAGGTTACAGAAGTAGAACTGGAGTTGACACAAATCATACTTTGAGTTTCTGAATATATGTTTCTAATAAAATGTGTTTCCTTGACACAATAATAAAAAATAAACAGTGACCTTCCCAGGAAACTAGTGAAAAATGTCAATGGTATATCATAGTGTTATTTTTCATGAACAAAGTATATTTTGTAATTCTTTCAGGATATTACCACGTACATATGCTATACTATATTCCACTAGCTTGAAAGAAAATTTAGATTTACTTCAGGAAAAAAAAAATCTATAGGATTTAAGAAACATTCTAGCAGGCACTGATTAAAATTTTCCAAAAATTAATAATGGGTAGACGAAGTATTTGTAGTTTCCCATTTAAATTGTCTTTGTTGCCTTCTCGGAGGCATATTTCCTTCACCTCTTCTGCAGCCCATGGTACAGGGCTAAGTACAAGTCAGGGACAGGTAAATGCTTGCAGACTATAATTTCTTATTTCTATATATATTTCTTATTGAGTACTATCTATTTTTCCAGTGTTTCTTACCAGTGCTTTCTATTATCACCAGCGTGTGTGTAAAGGGGAGCGGGAACTCAAAATGGATACAGAAAAGTCATTACAACTTTGTCAACCACAGTGGTATGAGATTTCAAGACTGAAGAATCACGAAGACATGAATTAATTGTTCACCAGGGACTTCTAATTGACTCCAAAGCCCTTACTCTATAAAATTCACTACCTATATAATTAAATTATACAATTCAAAACCAACTGACCTTTTTTTTCTTCCATGCCTGCCCCTGGGATCCTGTTTTCTGCAACTAGATTAAGGCTTATACTATAGTTTTTGGTGAAGAAAAAGGACATGTAAATGTGTATTCACCTTTTGCAGTATGATCAATAATGCCAGCAAGAAAATATCTGCATACCACTCTCCAGTGTGACATTTTAAGATATGCCGTGTGACTGGATCTCCATTCTCCATGTATAAGGCAAGCAGGGAAGAATTATATCCTTTCCATATAGCCACGCAAATGAGGCTCAAAGAACTTGAGTATTAATTATGTGGTGATGCAATGCCAGGAAATGGTATAGTTAGGGTTGAACCTAAGTCTTTGGACTTCAAATCTAGTGTCTCTGTGTGGTAGGTCATGCTACAACCTACTGATTTCCAATGGGCTGTGCAAACGGATGTACCAGCTCTACTGCCTGAGAAAAACAATTTCAAATTATTCTATACTGACAGAAGGAATGTGTGTCTAATACAGTTAGTCTATGGTACAGAACATTCTGATATGGTACAGAACATTCTGCTTTGTTGTGAAGGGACCTCCCCTAAACTCTTCGCTGTTACTTATGAAATCTTTGCAAACGTACTAAACTTATTTGAGTCTATATTTCATAATTTATAAAAAAGGGAACGGTAATACATACTTCCAAGTGTGCATGTGAGCCCTGAAGAGAAGTAATACGTGCAACTATCACCCTTCATGGCTCACAGCTTCCTGGTAGAGAGAGCAGTTTCTGCTTGCGAATCACCTTGTGAGTGGTGAGTATTCAGAGAACTAAAGCTAGAGCTCCTAACTATAAACCGAGTCTTTATGGTTCCACAGTTGGACATCACCTAGTTTTGATGGATGGGTCCCACAGAATAACCAATTCAGGTAAACACTTAGAAAAACTATGGATTATGCGGATGTGGGCTACAGATTAATTAACGCAGGCAAGGCAGGTAATGTATACCTTGTCTCACCCTGTGCTTGCCTTTAGTGGCTAAAATGCAGAGCTGGATGATCCCACACTACAGCAAGGAAGGCCAGAGCCAAGGGGAATCCACCTCCATATTTCCATTTTTAGATTTTTCCTTAATTTAAACAGTAAGCCAGAAGGGAAGAAAGGAAATGCTGAGCTTCTGACAAGACATTAAGTTAGATGGACAGATCAATCAATGCCTCTTCCATGTTATGTCTCAAAATAGGGATGAAACGAGGGAAACCCACCTCTGAAAGACTTAAGAGCTCCTTGCTGTTACTTTTCCCCCATTTGATTCCCATACTGACCAAAGGCCACCCAGGGCAGGGTGATTTCATGTACATTTCCAGCCACATCCACCATGAGCTGACAGAGACTAGAGTGTCAGACGCTGAATCATCATGGGAGTGTTTATAATATTAATTACACCCACGGAAATTCTCAGCTATTCCTTACTGGAAGAGCAGACATTTCATGATGTTACTTCTAGGAGAACCAAAGTGAATGAGGAAACAGACAGTAGGCTTCTTATCAGAGGTCAAGAGGAGAACACCTATAAGCCTGCCACTCTGGAAAGGAAAGCAGAGGGATATCGAATCGCCAAGTGGTCCGTCTAGGCAGCTCGGCTGAAACACTAGCACTCTTGTATTAGGAAATTAACAACTCATTGACTGTTCCCAAAGAACAGTTTGGGTCTGTTCCCAAAGACCGGGCTGATGCCGCTGTCTTTCCAAGATTTTTAATCTCTTAACCTGGTCTTAGGTATTTGGAGCCCTGAGGCTTACACTGTAGTAGAATCTGGGTTCTAATCTACAAATACGAATAAATGATAGTCTAATAACTCTAGCTCTAACCAAACTTGTGTACTTAACATCTATCTCAAGTTTCTGTTAGTGAGATGAGACTAAGAGTCAAAGCAGATGCGAAAAGAGAAACATGGTCACCAAATGGCTAGAGGAGAGATTAGCAGATGAGACTTACCAAAGAGTGTAAGGGTCCTTCATAATTAGGAGATGATGAGGCCTGTCCTCCATTTCTAGACCAAACAGCTGTGCCTGCTGATATTAAAATGGAGATTACAATGAGATCTATATAATCTGAAAACAATCTCGCAGATATTTTAAACAGTTCTTTTAGAAATGCTTATTTTCATTTGGACAATTAAGATAAATACATGTAAACTCCCCATACAAGAATTCTGGGACAAGGAAAATATCTTCAGTTTCAAACTTGATGTAGACCCTGAATTCTCTGGGCTTCCTCCCCAAAGGGAACGTCTAATTGGTTCTGAATTTAAGCCAGAGAAGGGTTCCTCCTGAAGGAAAGAGATCCCTACAAAGTCAAGGCACTTTTAAGAATGCAAAGGGGGATTTTGTTACCCCTTCATGCAAGGCCAGTTTGTGAAACCAAAATTCTCTCACCAATGAACAACAGCATTGCTACTTGTTTTAAAAATGATCCTTAAGGAGGGATAAGCCTTCCAAACTTTTTAAGGGACTAAGATTAGTTGGCAGTGATCCACCAAACCAGAAATTTAAAAACTCAATATAACAACAGTAATAAGTAAGTGGTTTCTTCTGAAGAAAATAATTATTTTGTGATCCACTAAACTTGATTCCTGCTACAATAAATATTACATGTCTGACCTACAAAATAAAAACCACTTTTAAACTCACAGTAATGCATACTCTGTGTGGAAACTAAGAAATAATTCAAGAAAGGAAAAAAAAAATCTGTGATCTCACTGTAATCTTATTTCCCGACACGCTTAGCATTTAAAAAAAAATTCCTTCTTCCTATCATTTCTGGGTGTGCATGGATGTGCATTTTTATGCTAAATAAAAGTCGGATAGTTTGTTCAGTTACTTGCAGTGATAGAATATGGACAAAGCCAGCTACTTTCTTGTGAAAATAGCAATTAATCCCCATGTTTACATCTTCGTAAAGTTCATTCTTCCTAACATGGGGTCTTTCATGGGGCATTAGCTGGACCTGAAAATTGGCCTTGTTTCTCTGTCTCCCACATAGAGCACGCTGCTCAGAATTTGGGTGTTTGTGGCATTTTCTGGAATGAATTGTGCATCTGAACCTTCTCGTCATTAACCTAGAAATGAGGTGGCAGAATGGTGAGCGCTGGACTGTCGTCCAAGCTCTGGTACTGACGTGTGTGCCGCCCCAGCAAATCACATCCCCCTTCCGGGCCTTCGCATGCTCATCTGTAACATTGGAGCACCAGACCAAAATAGTCGTTCTCAAACTGTATTAGACTCTAGATTTTTCCCCCCCTAATGATAAAATAGATGAAATTAGAGCTGCTTTGTTGCAAATGGGGACCTTGGAGTTCTCCCTGCTCAGACTCCCTCACCACCTGCCTCACTGAGCTCCGTGTTGCCTCTGGACACTGGCTCTGGACACTGACGCTGGTGATCATGTCCCAGAGCCTAACAGTAGAATACTGACCCAGGAGTGGATAACACCTCTCAACTTTCCGTTCCTTTTCTGTCACGGGGAATATTTCATGGCAGTTCCATGATCCCCTTCATAGCATCTCTGTGTCCTTCCAGTTTCAATTCTGTCCGTTGGGACACGCAGACTGAAACGTCCAGCCACCCCTCTCCATTCTGCGGCAGCCCCCACCCCATATCAATGGAGACTTGGAAAAGGCTGATATTTGGTCCTCCCAAGCCATGGCCATCTCCTCTGAAAGCTTTGTGCAGTCTGAAACCTCCTGCTTTCTACCAGGGAACCCAGTTTATGATGCCCTGTGAGAGCTGCTGTGGGGAGTAACAGGGATCGAGAAGGCAGCATCTAGGCAAGTGACTTCACTATAAATTACAGTAAGGTCAAGTTTCAATCAGGTACAGATGCGATTCGGATTCTTTTTTGGAAGCCACCTGTCCTCCTTTCCAAGAACAGAGACACGCACCAGATAGGGCCTTCTGGAAGCATTTATACGAGAACGGCAATGAGTCTCTTAAACGGACCTCTGAAAAGTGAAACGCTTTACTAACATAATTCAACAACTTATAATTTTATTATTGGAAGCCATAGGTCATACTAATACGTAATATTTTAAGGCAAACATTTCGTTTTACTCCATGCAGTTACTTCTCTATTCACACAATTAGAGTTTTCCTCAATCACGTCAGGGACATGGACTTTAAAAAGGACGCGTGGAAAGCCTAAAATTTCCGTAGGAAATGATCCTTTTGAACAGTCTATATTTGATGGCTATATAATCTATATTCATATTCCTGACTGTATTAACTGGGTTTTCTCACCTGAGATGTCTTCTTAGAGTATGTTATTCTGCTGAATATCTTCTACAGAGACAAGTTTAGGAAGTTTTCCATATGCCTATGTATTCTAAAAACATGTAATTTTTGAGAAAAATTTTGGATGTGAATGGCTGTACTTTCATATGGCAGAGGAAAAGACAGACCTTTCCATTTTTCTGTTCAGAAATGTTCTGTTTTGAGCTTTTGGAGGGAGGGAGCTTCCACCTGCCAGACCAGGAAGTACGAGAGGGAAATCGTTCTCCTACACTGGTATTATGATGGGACTGGATTTAGGTACAGTACCTGAGAGAGAAGGAGGAGAGCCAACAGGAGTTGAAGGGTTTGATGAAAAGCTGTTGTTAGTGTGATCTGGAGAATAGATCTTAAAAAAAAAAAAAAAAACAGTGGGGGAGAAGAAAAAAAGAAACAAACCCTCATTTATTAGGAATAAAGAATCAACAATTCATTAAATAACCAAGTGTCATTGCAATTCACCTAAAAATTACAAGTCATAAAATACACATAACAATGGACTCTAGTACCAATATCATAAAATGAAAGATTTAACACTTTAATTTTTCAAACTAAGAATTATGAGCTCATGTAAAATGGCGGGGACAGTACTGGACCAATCAGTAGACTGTGCTTTCCCTCCCATGTCCTACTGTGGCTCCGTGGCTGTGAGCAAGCCACATGGACACCCCAAGCTCCCCTTTCTTCCTCCATCAAACAGGTTAGACAGCATCATTTCTATGATTTTTGTCCAACTCCTTCTCTACCACAATTAAGGCATTTAATGCCAAGGCTTAAGAATGCCCAGATGAAGTATAAACTTCCACTTAGGTCACAATGCTGAATTAAACTTACTTTATGCTCCCAATGGTAAGAAAAAGCTAACCAAAGAGACAAAATGTTAGAGCAACAAATCCCCACTTACATTTGCAAATGGCTACATTTAGCTTTTGAAGACAACAACAGGCCTACTCCCTCACACAAACGAGGTGGGATACTTTATCACTAGTGAACATGCAAGAAATGCTCAATTCTAGCCTCCTGGCAGCAGACAGGTGAGGCAAAGAAACTGAGTCCCCAGGTGCCAATTATGTGACAGCTTCTCACGGAGCTCGGTAAGGTCTTTTTCTTTTTTTTTTTTTCTTTAAATGCCTTTCCCAAAGTGTTTTAGAATTGCTCCCTGCAAAATCAGTCTTAGTTAATCCATGAGTAGTACTATACATCTTTAGAGAAAAATGAGAAATCAAGATAGAAGATCTATACACCAAAAGGCCCTGAGAATATCCACAAATCCGTAACGGAGGACTGCTTGGCACCATTGTAAGGAGACAACCTGGAAGGGTCAGTCCTTCCCTGGAAGCTTCAGAGTTCTCTCCTCAAAATTTCCAAGCACCATTCTGCAAGAAAGCTAGCATTTCCAGAAATCAAGGCTATTTGCCATTCATTTTCTACAATTCCAAATGTCCACTTCTGATTAAAGTTCACCCTTCCACAATGGAACATATGAAGTCCAAAGTCAATATTTCCTCACCGAAGCAAGTGCTTTCCCCAGAGCATCTCCAGTCTGGGAGCTGCCTGCTGCCCCGCTTCCTCTATTTGCTGCAAAAACAAAAGGCAGAATATGAAAAACCAGGCAGTGAGACGTCGAACAATTTTCTATTCCTGGTCCATTTACTCACAATTTAATTGCATTTTTAATGCTAATTACAACACATTAATCTTTAATTAGCATTAATTTGTTTGCTGAGGTAGATGTCAAATATATTCATGTTACTTTTTTTTACAGATAAAATAGAAACCTGACACCTTGGTTTAAAGATGAAGTGTTCCAGTTGCTATGACTGGCCCCCTGGTTGCTTAGGAGTAGTTGGTGGGGAATGGGAGCAAGCGTGCCAGCACAGGAGGTTCATGGCTACGAAGTAAGCGGTACGTTTCACATCTCTGAAGTCTTCAAAGCGTGCCTCTTCTCGCTATTTCAGAGAGTCAATGGAATTGTCTTCACAAATAATTTATGCCAGCTTTCCGGTTTTTAAAAAATTTGATACCTAGCAAAACGAGGTGCTCCTCTTGGCAAAAATAAAAGAAATTCTATAATGGGTCTGGCTTCCTAGGCAAGAAAATATTTTTAATATTTTAAATAACACATACTCTACATATATCAAGTCTGTGTTTACGTTAAAAAAAATCTGAACTGTGATGCTACAAAAAATCAATATGGTCTCAAATTCCCGAGATAAAATAAGTCTACGTATTCATGACGTTATCTCTGTCATCGTAAACACTGGTATTTTTGACTACAAAATAGATGAACCGAGGACTATTGTGAAAAAATGTAGATTCCGGCCTGGAATTTGAAGTATCAGTTCTATTGAACAGTATTAATACAACACTTAGAACATTTGGCATATGACACTTATTAAGGCCTGAACGTTAGCAAATAGACATAGTATTCAAATAAAACCTATTAAACTCCAAGGAGCCATCTTTCGCTATTTTGTAAAACAAAAAAAGGAAATCTGAAGTCCACTGATCAATCCAAACAGAACATCATTGCACTTGACATAATAAAAAAAAAAAAAAAAAAAAAAATCCCAGTCCTCTCCTTGACCCAAGAGCACACTTGCTGACAAATGTGTCATCTGCTTCCAGATCTGTAAAATGGAGTAGTGGGGTCAGATCTCAAGTGGCTGAATTCTCTACTTCTCTAGGTTATAATTTCATTCTCCTGACCGCTGCTTAGCATAGTTAAATTATGCTTGCTATTTTTATAGGGTTCTACGTTGGGTATGTCAGTTCAATAATCTTTTGAGGTGTGCTTTATTTGTTTAACAAAACCCATACCCATATTCATTTGTTAATTACTAAAACTGAAAGAAAACTGGTATGCAATACAAGGAATGCAACTGCCCTCTGACAAAACCATTCTTTTTTATATATCACAAATTCATACTATTAAAAGTATATCGCTTATTAGTGCTAAGGATTATAAGTATAAGCACACTTTTGAAATGAGTCAGACATACAATGAGCTAGTGGAAGGAGCTCCCAGATGCCACTAATATTAAAAATACATAAGTATAAGAGCTAATTGAAATTATATCTCATGTAGAAATGAAAATTTCTGCATTGAAAAGCTCTATGAAAATGAAAGACAATTCTAAAGAGAAAAAAAATAAAGATTTTGAAAGCACAGAGAGCACTCACATTTTTTCAGCATGTACTAGAATTGTATTTGGGGGCAATTAGATACTTTTTTTTTTTTTTTTCCGCAGAAGCAATATTATCACAGATACCTAAATATTAGATTTGTTAGTCAAACAAATGTGTGATCTGCTTGATTAAAAAACAGGTCTTTGTGAAATGCAATTTCAGAGCCACACCGAAAAAAATTAGATTATCTACTCTCACAAAAACCTAAATCAAAAAAGATAAGCTTTTGTTTCAATTACAGATAAAGTTTGCTACAATAGTAGCTTTCAAAAGATTAAATCTTCCTTTGAACAACTTTAACATGAGGATGACAAATTTTTCAAAATATATTCTCATGAAAACCAAAAGAAATATTTTAGGGACATTTAAAAAATAAATTCTCTCTCTCTCTATGTATGTATATACATATATATATACATACACATATATATGTACGTATATAAATATAAAAATACACTTGAGAAGAGATAAGATCGTTATGATTTCTTTTGTACTACACCTTTCCAACTAAACTTTCTATTACTGCCTGTTTTATAGAGTGCGGTAGTAGGACTCAGGAAGTAGAATAAAGACTGGAATCAACTTCTTACCCCATGTGGTCATGAGAATGTTTCAGAAAACTCCAAAGGCTACTCATGGAAGCCACTGATAAGAACAGACTATTTTTTCACATGAAGCCCTTCTACCTTGCAGCAGCTGGAGGGCCAAACCCAAGGGTTTAAATTTCAAAGCAGCGTACTGGGGCCAATTTGCCCTTTCAGTTGGAATGCCTTTTGCTCTGTTCCAGGAAATGTGGGAGAAGACACATTTCTGAGCCTCTGAACACTTTAAGCTACATGGGTCCTTCTCTTAAAGATTTCTCTTTTTATTTGTGTGACTGCTATGTCAAAAGGCATACATAATCAGAAAGTGAATTTAAATTATCAAGTAGCATCCTCTTTTTTATACTGAGAAGTAATGGGTTGTGTTTGGCAAAATACACTTTCTAATCAAACTTTGTGCTCATCAGATCCGTGTTATGGCTTTCATGGGACAGGACTCAATTCCTGTTTTAGGCCCAAGTTTTTGTCAACTCATATCATTAGAAATTGCCAAAATGCTCATATAATAGGAGGAGAAGCAGAAACTACTGTCTCTACTAGGTAAAGATGGGATTAATTTCTTGTTATTTTAGCTCTAATCAATTTCTCTTGCTCAAGAAAAGAAAATTAGTCTCTAAAGCAGTAAGGTAAATATGAATATAAGATGAGCAGTTATTGGGGCACCTGGGTGGCTCAGTGGGTTAAGCCTCTGCCTTCGGCTCAGGTCATGATCTCAGAGTCCTGGGATCAAGCCCCGCATCGGGCTCTCTGCTCGGCAGGGAGCCTGCTTCTCCCTTTCTCTCTCTGCCTGTCTCTCTGCCTACTTGTGATCTCTGTCTGTCAAATAAATAAATAAAAAAATCTTAAAAAAAAAAAAAGATGAGCAGTTATTAAAAAGAACTGCAATTTTGTAGGGGGACTCGAGACCGCCAGCCCTCTAAGCATTATTCAGATGGTTTGAACACAGGTGCTGCTGCTGGCTAGAAGATGGAGCAGAAGGAAGGGTCTGGTACCTTCTGTTTCATGTGGGACCACCCTCGGTCTCAGTCTCAGCTTTGTGGAAACAGCAATTCCTATTAGAACACACCCTAATCAAAACACCAGGATGAGTGGTGTCTGGGGACTGGCTACCGAAAATCAGAATTTGGAAAATGTGTTATCCCTTTATTGCACACCCATAACCTCGGGCTGGGAACATTGTGAAGATCTAAAAGGAATAAGAACTACAATTCAGAGTGAATTTGTCCGAAAAATGGTGACTGCTTTAGTTTTTTTTAGGGTTTTTTGAACTGTGTCCAAGTGACCTTCATGTGATTAAACTACTAGAAGCAGCATAATGCTTCCAAAATGAGCCATGAGTTCATCTCTATAAAGATGACAAAAGAAGGAGTATCTCCAGCATTCTTAGTACACACGATTTTAGAATAAAGACTCAAATAGAGGCCACAATGCACTAATTTTTAGCAGGAGGGATTCCTAGGAATTCAAGGGGGGAGTTGGGCCCCAGGACCATGTGCAGGAAATGGACAAGAAGACTTAAATCAAACTAGTTTATTGTTCTCCGTTGGTGGTCTTTGTAACTAAGATGCCATGTCACTGCTGGATAAAATCCATATTACTCTTAAGCACTGTGCCTGTTCATCACCCAACTGTATTTGAAGGCTCGAGATTCTTACAAAAGACAAAGTGAATATTATATGACTACTCTAATAATAAAATTACTGTGAAACCGAGTCCTCAAGGGGAAATGGACATAATGTTTCTACTAGAAAAGCCACATACTACAATGCATCATGTCATACAAACATGTCATTAGAAGTGAAAGTTGTAAGCCAGATTAATTCAGGAACCAGATAGATATTCCAGGGTAATCTTTAGCATATGTTGCATTAAATCAATCATGGTAGTCTGTTCCTTCAACACTGTTTGGTTTGAGGTTTAAAAACATGGGAAGTTCCATGCATTAGAAAGCAGGCCAGTTAAAGGCTAATGGAACAATAATAGTTATTATAACAATAATGTTAGTTTTATGCACAATTCCCTCCAAGAAGAAGGGAGGGTGTGGAGTCCCAAACCACCAGGGGTCACACCCTGGGAATGTATACAAATGGTATCTCCCAGTGGGGTACTGGGGCGCTCCTAACCTTGAGTAATCTCGGGCGACCGTGTTAGGCTAGGCAGTACTCTCGAACCTTTTGGTCAAGACGGGATATTGGGCACTGCAGGTAAGAAGGAAATATGTAGGTAGCAACATATATGTCATGGCTGCTATCCTCTAGACATTTTTATCCTCTACAGGCTGGCTTGTAATCACTTGCTCCCCTTCCTCCTCTGCGTGCATGCTGGCATGTGAGGCCCTGGCCCCCACAGCTTCTGATATAAAGCCAGCAGCATTGCCCTGGAAGGGTTTTAGGAACAGAGTTGACAGGATCTGATGGTGGTAACTCCGGACTTGGCTATTCTCTTCAGCGGGGTACTCTACCAGCCCAACCCGCAGGAATCCATGCTGTGTCCCGTGTGTTATAGTCATGTAATTCCCGGGAGCTTAATGGACCCTTCCAGTTCAGAAACATTGACTGTAACCTCCAGAGTTTACTGGCAAGGCTTTGAAGGAAAGTACTCCGTGCCCCAACTAAAATAAGGGACAATTTTCTCAAAAAATCCATGGATGGATGTGTCATTAAAAACAACAACAACAACAACAACAACAACAAACCGGTTATGATAACTGGGATGTTTTGTCCTTCTTAAGAATTTATTTCTCGAAAAATGCTATTGGGCATTAAAGGGCAAAAGCCAACAAAACAAGAAACAGTGATCACCTCACCAAGTCAAACAAGCCTTTGTAAGCCCTGGCAAGCGTCTGCCATCTTTGAAATGCAGAGGACAGAAAGAGGGACAAGGTGATTCCAGGGGGTCACCTTCTGATGGTTCTAAGTTTGGCCCTCGCTCCACATGCATTTTGGTGTTCTGTGACCAGTTCGGGACATTCACTGGTGGCCAGGAGGACACATTATAACATGAAACTCAGAAGCAGTGCAATGATCTCCTTCTGAACTGAAAAAAAAAAGCAGCTTCCTCAGACATCAGCGCCATTTATGAAAATACTGAACTGCCTTGCGCTTTTTCACCAAGAAAACTTGAAAAATGTGATGTCCATGTGTTAGTGCTTGAACCCCATTCTTACGGCATTAGTAGGGCTTACAGTTATTTTCTACAGAATCATGTGTGTAATCTCAAACATGTGTCAGGCTATGTGTTCCCTATTTACCAATTATTTAATTAGCTCTGTTTGTTCTTTGAGATATAGGCAATGTAATATTTCTTTATTTCCTGCATTTCAGAATGAGTGAGTATATGCCAAATATTTTCAAAAGTCTACAGATGTATCCTATTAATCCATACTGTTTGTTAGGGAAGTATCACTAACATCAGAAGAGAAATCTTCTCTTCTTGTTATACAGACATGTTGCCATCCCTGACTTCTACCACACTCTGAAAATCAATCCAAAGCCCAAGAAAATTGAAGTGGGAAGAAACATGAGCCACTCGACACCATGCAATACCAAGACTCTATTATCCTATTTAAATTTTCCCCTGTATTTTAATGTAAGAAATCGCAGGACATCTTATTTTAAGAAAGAACATTCTAGAATGCTCCCCCTTAACATAATCCTAAAGTAATAACTTCACTTATGCAAGTTAATAAAGTTCTGTTCTTTCAAAAAGCTGAATTACCATGTCTACTTATTTCCCGAGAAGATTATAAAGCTTTCTGACGTTCTGCTAATAGATTTTGACAAGTATACCCATGATTATGTAATAATCTATGTAATAAAATTATTCTTAAAAACTTTTTTCTGGGTTTCAGAAATCTCCTACTTTCTCCTTTAGAATTATGGCTCTTTTAATATTGTAGAGACCCTCCCTCTACTTCAACAGGGCCCTGTGGTCCATATAACAAGTTCATTCCATCTTTAGTGTGTGGTTGAGCCTGTTAGCATGCAGAAGTCACCTATTGCTCCATAGCTACTCAGACCCAATGAAGAAGGACAGCAGACATTCCTGTTCATCCACGGGCTAATGATGAGTCAACCATCTTAAATAGAGCAAATCTCAGTCCCACTGGGATTTGTGGCCATGCTGACCACAGCTCATGAAGAATGATTATTCCATCTCAAAATATCTCTTTCTTCCCAAGTTGTGGTGCCTTGCTCCCAGAAAGACTGTTTTGTACATCATTCAACACAGAATTTTTTTCAAATAATGCCCAAGTATGTTTTCCTCAACTCAAGCTTTTGCTCCACCTTTATACCTTCCTAAAAAAGAAAATTACTCAAACCACAAGTAGACAGGAAATCTGCCGTGTAAGAGGATGAATGACCGGTCATCCTTCTTTATAACGAGACCTCATGACTACAGAAAGGGGCTTTCCATTTGTCAAACCACATTGAAGTGAAATATGCTTTTCTCACCCTTTCAGTTCTGCACTTCTTTCTTTCTTCTTGTTTTTCAAATCTGCCAAAACTGCATTGATAGCTAACCCAACTTCCCCATGTGACCTCTGTCCATTCCTCTCCAAGGTCAAACTGATGCAACACATTTGTAGAAGCTTTGTTATGAAAAGTTATGAAAATGGAAACACTTGTAAATTTGCTTCTTAGTGAGACATGATAGCGACGGGCTGCGAAGGTGGCTCATCTCAAGTGTGAAATATATTATTGAATAAGCAGGGAGTGTATTATTTAGGCAGAATTATATTTGCAACATTTCAAAGCACATTTCTTCCCTCTCATCAAAAACTTTGCCACATAAGTGATTCACACCACTTTCCCAACTCCCATGAACTCTCTAAAGAAAATGAAAAACTGCAGAGAGCTAAAGGGAATAAACAGTAGGATTATTCTGTCACACATTCTTCTCTCTAAAGCATACAGTTAATGTTCCCATCAGGGACCTGCGGCAGGAGATCCTGAGGCCAAACAAGGTGTCAGACTGAGCTAGGACCAGGGTAGTGGTGACCAGTGGAGGCTGAGGTTTTATTAAGACCCTAGAACATCAGGCTGTGTGATTCCTCTGCATTGGCAAAGTTTCTTCTTCCCCTCTGAAAGACTCCAGGAGGTGAAGCCATCTAGTTATTAATAATCACCCAAGAATATCACAGGAGCTAGTCTTTGGAAGACTGTGGTATGTCATGGTTAGTGACATGGTTTAGAGCCTAGCACGGCTGACTGGATTTGGGAAGGGATCAATAACTATTTGTAAGAGCTAACTTGCCCCCCATCTCACTAAGTCATCAGTGGTTTGTCTTATAAATGTTTACTTCGCTCACTGTTGGAGAGTGTGAGAAGCAAGATAGTTTTGGCCTAGTTCAACCTTTGTTCAATCTAATAACTCGCAATGAACCAAGTAGCCAAATATCAGTTTCTTGTGACCCCCCCCAAAAAAAGGAAGAAAAAAAAGTGATTATGGACAAGCCGATGACTATTTCTGTTTGGTTCATGTATTTTCATGCAGTTATGTGACAAATACTCATTGCCTGCTTGCTGTTCAATGATGAGGAGAAAAAAGAGGCCCTGTATTCTTAAACCCTGACCTTGCTTGTCAGCGTCAGAATCACCATTTCTATGACTCACCCATTATACTGTCGGTCCCGTTGGCGGGAGGCGTGCAGGAAGAGGAGCTGTAATGGTTTGTGCCACTGCGGTGGAAAGTGGACATCGGAGGAAGACTGGAATTGATGTCTGCTGAGGAGTGTGATGGATAGCTCTGCAGCAAGAAGCAAAAAAAAAAAAAAAAAAAGCCACATTCAACCATGAACTATTTAGTGGGTTAGAATACTAATACTCCTTTTGGAACTCATCATTTTGCAATGGAGACAGCCCTTCGAATTTCAAAATATCGAAGAATACATCTTGCTTAGATCTGACAGATTTCATTTTTCAAATGAGAAAATACAAAGACACATAGTTGGTTTGCGCTTACATCAAATGTAGAGGAATACAATGGCCACCAAGGACAGTGAGAAATGATCACAATCTCTAAACCTAAAAATTATCGCTTCAAAGTACCTCTGAGGTGTCAGCAACATAAAAGACCATCTCTACTATTATTTTTTTGTATGAACTATTGATCAAGTAAGAAAGAGTCCATGATACAATGAATAAAACAGTATCGTGACCCATGGGATTGACATGGGTCAACTTTTGGACTAACTGGCAAAGAGCAGCCAGTCTCAAATCCTCCGCCTGTACAACTGGACCACCTTTCTGAACTCAAGCAAGAACAGAAGGGTAAATGGAAAATTCTAAAAAGTAAAGATGATTAACTATCTCTCTAAAGCATCGTATGTAAAGCCTTAAATCAACAACCATACTGAATTAAATTGGAATGAATGAACTGAGAAAGACTAATGTGAGCTCTTTCTTTATGTGTCTTCTTCATTAGTAATCTACCAGATAGCTATGAAAAAAGAACATCTTCATAGAATCATTTGTTTTAATGTTTCGTCTTGAGTTCAATTATTATCCTTGTGGTCCAATGAAGCTGCTTTTCTTGGAGGTATATCACAGTGCCTGTAAAGTGGCAATCCATCTGCTTGGGAATGAGCAGATCACCAACAGGGACACAGTTATTTACCAAAACACATCAAGCTATTTTCTTTTCCAAGATAAAAAAGTAGCTTAAAATGTTATTCTCATAGGTATTTGAATGTGTTATAGACATGTAAGGGAAAACTATTTTGGCTAAACTCTATTTTTTCTTGTGGGTAATATATTAATCAGCCATGGACATTCAATTAAAATTAGAGATTGAATATGATGCTAAAAGTCAGGGGTGCTTAAAGCCCAGGCACTTATTCATAGGAGTGAAACGCCAGTGTCTTGGTATTTCTGTATTAATTTTGTGAGGCCTATCTTGGGTTCTACCTCTTCCTCTAGTATTCCTTCCTACTTCCAACTCTTGCACAATCTCTTCTGTCTGAATCCCTAATGCACTCACATTCTGTGCTTTGCCATTTAACACTTAATTATATGCTGCCTTTCCTTGCTTCCTCTTTCAAGTGCATTTCCACCTAGACTGTAAACTCTTTAAGGGGAGGGAACAGAGCTTACACCTCTGCATCTCACAACTTACGGCTGAGTGCTGAAGACATAATTATCTTATATTCTCAATGAACAACTGGTTATCGATTGGCATTTAATAAATAGTGGATTGAAATACCACTTATTTGAAAGAGAATTAAACAATCTAGGAAATGAACCTACATTAGATCTGCCAATGACATGGTGGATGTCTTTGACAATGTTACCTCTGCACATTCAAACCAGTCCAAATGAAAGATCAACGTCAGTGAAAAAGTTGAGATGATACCCTTAAGTCTTTCCTACTTCCCAAGAAGGCTTTTCAAACTTTTTAATTTCATGGACCTCTGTGCTTCACCAAAAAACTCCTTAGACCGCCTGTTAAACTCATTCCTACTTGCCACTAATGAAATGTCCCAAGCAGCCCACGAACTTTTCTCCAAACAATGACAGAACGGGCCCATTGCATAGTACAGCTAACCCAAAACACTGGATAAGCCACGGAACACCAAACTTGGAACCACTATTTCTGCTTGACAGCTAAACACCATAATAAAGTAAAGAAAAAGAAACTGAACATAGAAGAAAGAAGGAAACTGGAAGAAATAAGGAAACTGAAAGAAAGAAATGATTTGCATTCATTTCTACACAATGCTATTCTGTGCTGAGTTTCTGAAGAACAGGGAAACTGTATAAATCAGTCCCACATATGCAAAAATCAAAACAGAGGAAAGAATTTTGAAATAAATATTTTTTTAAATGACTATATAATCACAGGGTCAAATGGGAAAAAGATTTCCACATTGGGGAGGATTTCTAGACACTTTTAACATGGTGCAAAATGGGCAGTAATTCAGGATTTAACAGACAGAGGGTTAATAGTGAGTTTGGAGGATGATAAGAAAAGTTCTTCCCCATCGATTTTGATAGGGAAACGAATGCAATCCATGTAAATCAGTTATTTTTAGAGACTCACAGAAAATAGGGTGCTGAAAAAAATTAATGAGATTTATTATTTATTTATTATAAATTATAATTTATGATGATAAATTATTTATTAATTTATTATTTCCTTATGCAAGGAAAAGTATCCTGAAAACTACTATCACTCAGATATAATAAATACACTGCAGAGACTATCACTGATGTGTGAAGTATGTCTCTTTTAGAATATTTAGGGACCAACAATGAGAGGTCTCTTTTGCCTCTCTCCCTCCGGCTATTGCTACTGTCTGCCTGCTTGCTACATATGGAAAGGGGAGACTGAGAAAGCATAATGGCTTTACATGCCCACTATTGAAATATTTTTACTTATGATGCCCGATTACAGCATATTTGTAGGCCAACAGACAGAATAAGTATTGAAAATGTTTCTATTAGTGATGCTTTGATCAACCCATGGGTTGATAATTCAAAGATTAGAAAATATAATCATTGGTGGCACATACTAAGAATAAAGTCATGCTTTGGGCTCAGGCAAATTTTATAACCTTGGCATCATTACTCTTTTATGCCAGGTAACTGTTTGCTGTGGGGGTCTCTCCTACATCTTGCAGCATGCTTACCAGTATCCCTGCCTTCTACACGCTAGATTCCAGTGACATCTACCAGCTGGAATACCCAAGAATGTCTTCGGACATTCCCAAATGTTCCCTGAGGGGGTAAAATCACACCTGGTTGAGAATCACCAGGGTAAGCATTTATGTTACAAAAAATTCAGAACTCTTTTATATTAAAATTCCAGATTCCTAGGACTATTTCACTCTGTGGGGCAAAGACCATGCCTAAACCATGCCAGACGGAGGTCTCTATCCTATTTCTAAACAAAACTCTGCCAAGTCAATCCAACCTTAAATCTTCTACAGCAACCCTTTCCAAAGCTTAACCACAAACTCCATTCTTCCGAGTGATTCTGTATGTGGATCTGTGACATAGTAGAGATTAGCTGTGGGATTGTGTTGTAGAAACTGAAGCTGTAAAGGGGATTTAAAGAATCGAAATTGGTGACTTGACAGTTGCTACTGGAATGTGTGGATTTGAAGCTTTACAATTACACATTCTACCACAATGGAGGTAATAATGTTTCTAAAATGTTGTACCTTCAGAGACAATACTAATTTGGCCAAATTATACCCAAAATGATACAAGGAAAACACTCTCCTTTTTCTCAAACTATTCTTTTGTTCTGTGTGAGACTGTCCAAAAGCTATAGATGAAAATTGGGAGCAACTACCATTATTTTCAAGTGAAAGGACACTAAGTACCTACTGCGTACTCCAATTATTCTCAATCAGTGTCAGATTCCTGAAAGGCATTTCAGCGAGAGATTTCCAATTGGTTAATACTGAAATTACAATGATTACTAGATATAATAATCTAACAGTTTCCCTATCAGTGAGAAAATTCATTAGGATACATTACCAGAGACCTAATTCATTTACCATTTTTTTAAACAAACCCTTAATCTCTAAGATCTGCTAAATAATCATATTAAGAATAAAAACGCCATGTTCGGTGTTGGATAAATGACATTACAAATATAGCATCTGATACAACCTGTTGGGTTTTTCCTTCAAAAGGATCTTTCTTCCTGGTTGATAATATTGTATTGGTTTTTAAGGTTTTCAGCAAAATTTTTTCTAAAAGGAATGTAGTTGGTTTCCTTTTTAAAATTACACTTTTTATGCATTCGAGCACACTTTAAAGATACCTCCACCCATGCAGTGAATTTGATTGGGATAAAATCAAACCACCTACATCAAAATTCTACAGTATGATAAGGAAAGGAAGAAAGAACAAAAATAAATGTCAAATGAACAACTCTTAGAAGGACTGACATTCCATGTTATGTTAGTATACTGCCAAAATCTTTTAGTTGTAATCAAAATTGTCCTTGCTCATAGGACAGATGTAGTTTTGATCATGAGTTCCTTAGAGAAGTGGAAAATGATGATGGGGAAATAAAGATGTTGGCCAAGAAGAAATTCTAGTATAATAATAGTTGATATTTCTCTAAGCTTTCACTCTAATACCTCCAAGTAGGAGGTGGGAGAAGATAAAACATGCAAGTAAATCATTTGCTATTTACTGAAGATGTGCTGAAATTGGAGATAGGTTGATTTACACATTCAAACTTGGCAGATGATATAAAGAGGCCAATTCTATCTCCACTATTTTTGCCTCTCGTGAACAGATAGGCTAACTGACCACAGTGTCTCCATCACCAGGACTCACTAGATAAGTATCTTTCAAGGGTATCAGAGACGGTAACTTCTGGAATATTTATGCTGCCAGAATAGAACATAAGTCACCTTTTCTATGTCTCTAGTGTTTGAACCAAAGAGAGGAAAGATCACAGAAGCCCAGAAAGTACTCTTTCCTATCGCAGAGCAGAGAAAGACACGTGAACCTGAGTTTTAGGAGAACAAGGGGCAATTTCGAGATGTACAGTGACCCAGCACCACGAAGGACCACTGGATTTGTTCAGATCCTTTTTCGTATTTGTAGGATTATAGCTTCATACATTTTTAAAGTTATATGACTGCACAAGGGACTCAGTCCCATCTTACCTGCATCTCAAACCTAACTCATGGTCTCCTGTAATGCTCAACTCAAGTTCCTAAGTGGATTCTGGGCTGTTGGAGTTTTGAGGCTGGAAAAGCTCGGATGAGCTCCTTCCTCCAAGATAAAGGGACACGCTAGGATGGATGAGTTTAGGCAATGGGCAGAGTGAGCCCTTCAGTAATGCAACAAGGTAATGTTCTGCAGTTCGGCAGTTTTCAGCTGAGTGAGGCAATGGAGTATCACGTTGGCTGTTACGTGGAATTAAAGCTAAACCACTGAAAAGTGGGAATCTGATCTATACAGAAAGCTCCTGATCGCTGTGACTAGTGGCGTGTATGGGAAACAGGAACTCTTTCCTTTGGGTGTGGCACCACGGGTCAAAGCTGTCACCAGGGACAGAAGCCGGTAAGGGGAAGTAGAAATGCACATGGGAGATGCAGGCCACCTACTCTCAGTCTACTGACTGCCACTCTGCCCCCTGCAGTACACTCTTCAACACTACGGAAAGTAAACAAATAAATGACAAGGATCCACCATAGCTGAAATTGTACAACTCAAATACAGCATATATTTATGTCCAAAGGAGGCTAACAGTGTCATAAAGAAAGCATGGAACAAAACACGGTGAAGTTCAATGCCAAAGAAAAGCCACAAGGGCTTCCAAAGATGATCTGTTCTGTCTTTGATCTCAGAAACAAGATAACTCTAAGAACGATGGGTTATACTGTTTCTACACTCAGGACAGAGTCCTTGTGTACACGCACGGAAAGGCGGGAGAATGGGATTTTGCAAACTAGCGGTATTGTCCCCAGAACCACGTCCATCTGCCTTACCAAGCGTTCGTGTGGATGCAGGCTACAGTAGCTGCTAGACTGTGGAATATGAGAAGAACTGCCCAGCATTCCTCCGTAGCCAGGCTGATTCATCCCACTGGAGGAGCTCCAAGGGTCACTGCTGTGATGGCCATCTGTAAAGGACAAAGAAAACCATGACTTTTCGGAGGCATTCAGCCTTGCCCTACAGAATAGGGTTTTTTCATATACTTGAAAATGGCTACCCGTTGTGCATTCATCTTTGTGCTGTTTTGCTGATTACATCAGAAGACAGTCATCCTTCTTTTTTCCCCAAGTGGCTCTATATTATCAACAAATGTAAATATTTACCATAGGCAGTGTTCTTAGTAAAAATTCAGCCATAAAAGGACAGAGCACATTTCTGTGTAGAATTATGTCAAGTCAGCCAGGTAAACAATACTAAAGAAAACACTTCTTCTAAAAGTCCCCTGACCTCCTTTTCTATGAAAACGAACAGTTAAATGTTCCTAAGTTTTGTGATGAAAATAAAATACTTAACACATTATAGAGCTGACAAGTTTACAAGTTTTTTTAAATGCAGATAAAGAGATAAGAATGAAAAAGAACATCTCAGATTTTTTAAAAGATCAAATTTCCTTTCTATTACGTACAAGGCAGAATTAAAGTTGAAATTACATCATAATTTATAGGGAATGTGAGTCTCAGATATATATAGTTCCAAGTTTTCTTTCTTAACATTCGCTTTCTGGTGCATAGTTCTATTGCTACCTTAAGCCTTCAGTAGCCATTGAAAGGGCACACATATCATAAGGTAGATGTTACACCGGGGACAATTTTAAGAGGTTCTAGATTTTATAAAACTGTGTGTTAAAAAGAGGTTTAAAATGATGTGGACATTATATGAAGTACCCTTCAGTATTAAGTTAATCTTTGTTAATACCATATTAAAAACATTTTTATAGATTCTTTTTCTTCTCTGGGTCTATTGGCCTAGAAGTTACTCTTAGGGATCACTGATGTTCGGTTTGGGTTTCTCAAAACGAAGGTGGTTGGTGGGGGTGGGGTGGGTGGGCATCTATGTCATTGCTGAAGTCAAATTTGCCCTAGTTTCAATAGTTCTACCAAAATTATTGAGTGCCAGCTGAAAATACAGATCATCAGCGGGTATTCACAGTATAGTAGGCACTGCCTCCTTGAAAATAAGATTATTTTCACCATCTATGTTACATAATAAAGGCCTTTTGAAAATTTTAGCAATAGGCAAGTTAAATCCAACACTATATACCACAAAGCTTTTTTTTTTTTTTTTTTTTCACTGAGCTTTTAAATCCAGAAGTTAGAATTCCAAAAACTGGAATAGTTTCAGGACAGGGAGGAATGATCAATAGATTTCTTAAAAAAAAAAAAAAAAAAAAAAAAAAAAAAAAAAATCCTATCTGAGATTCTGACCACTTAAGAGTTTTAATCAGAAGACAGAAATTCAAGTGAAAAATGAGGTCACATGGTAGTGAGTTTAAAATGTGCTCCTGAAAGTCTCCCAGGATCTTTCACCCAAACTGCATGTTTTTTAAAGACCTGAATTGTCAGAGCACCAGGCACCCATCACTGAAGGAAGCCGGTGTGAGAGGGGATCACGAGGTACTGTTTCAGTGATCCTAATGGGAAAATAGAGGACTTTCTAGAAGATATTATTCATGCACTTAAGATGTAGCTTTCAGGTTGTGGAAGTGTAGATGTCACCTTAATTCCAAAGACGAAGTTAAGGCCCTAACATTTCAAATAGATGGCATCAATGACAAATAAATTGGGAATTTATATCATTGAACAAGAGCCTCCTGAAACATTCTGACCACATGGTGCACTATATGGAAATACATTTAGGATTTGTTAACACAGAACACCCTACTCAATGCAGACTTATAAAAATACGTACTTTACATAAATTATGCTTTTCACAGTAAATTAATATTTATCACATCCCATGATCTTGGCATAATGTTGTTTTGAAAGAATAGAATTAGATGTGTGCAAATTAATTGTGCTCATCATAAACGTCAACTCAAAAAATTTTGTTTTGCCTTTTTGGGTATTCATATGCAGAAAAGCACGTTTGTTCCTCATACTCTGCGTGGTCTACTGTGGTTGCAGAGCCTGTTTTCTTTCTTCCTCTACCTGACCTCCCATGCGGTGTGCACAGTTGAAGCAAGCACCTTCCTGAAGGCAGGTAGAAGAAATCTCTCCTGTCAATTTTCTCCGTGAAAATCTGCTGTGAGTGGTGAGTCCTTGAATTGACAATCTCGATAAGCACCAGGAGAACAGCTGCTCTGACTGGTCGTCAAAGAGGGGAGCGGGGGCCCAAGTGGCCGCTGTGCCTTTTGTCACAGCCCAGGATGCCCTCAAGTGACATACCCTGCTGGGTCCCTTTGTGAGTTACACCTAGGACAGGTCACAAAGAAAGATAAAGGGCCCTTATGAACATGAGCTCTATTATGCGTGCAACAAATTCTCTCCAATCCTGGGAGGCCCATTTGATTCAATTTTATAGATTTTCCATGGAATTTCACATGTGAACTAGCAACCTGGAAAACCTCATACTCTGAAGGGGAAGAAAATCAGTTCCTTTTAATCAGAATGACTTTGAGTATGTCCACTGCAAGATAAATGAGACATCAGGCTGCTCCCCGGTTCCTTGCTGCTCCAAGGGTGCTCCCCCTCCCATGACATGGCCCTTTCTGGAGCAGCACGAAAAGGAAATCCCAGGGCACGTGGCCAAGGCACACTCAAAAAAGGTTTTTGCCCCCAGGCAAAAAGAGGTAAAAGTTCTGCATACAGGTACAGGAATTCTTGGTAAATTCCATGTTTATGTTTCAGAGTATTAACTTGGCAACAAGATCATCCTATTTTGACAATAAATGCCACAGGGTTATCAGGGATGAAGCCCCACGTGCAATCTCTGGACAGTCTGTTCTTACACGCAGCTGGTGTCATTCTAACTATGTAGTCACTTGCGAGCAGCAGAAAGGAACCATGCTACCAGTGGAAAGACTGTAAACTCAGGGGTATATATCCATGTACATTTCATTAAATAAGTTCCATGATTAAAAGAATAAATACACTTCACCTACTGTGAAACTGTCATTTTCTCCATTTTGTCTTGGACAAAAGCTGGGTCTTTCACCCTAAATCAATTAGCATGTTTGGGTGGAGATTCCGTTGTGTAATGAAATAATATTCTAGTCTTGAGATAGGTTGCTTCATCTTAAATGAAGTTCTTGTTCTTACTTATAAATTAGTAAGTGGCTAAAATTTTTACATGAAGTTACACATAAGGACAATTTGTTCCCAGTTGGCTAAATCCAGGATGCTAAAAATACACACACGTTCCTCTTGGGGAGAGAAGAGGCAGAAATTATCTGTCATAGAAGACCATCCCCCCAAGAAGTGTCAGTTCTCAGTGAAGTCAACCAGTTTAATCTTAACTCATCATTGCTCAAGGGGCTTTGATTTGAAAAAATAGGTCTTTGTCAAGTTTTAATTAATTGATGAGTTTTTAATGAATTCAATTCCTAAGAAGGGCATGACCTTCAATATTCTCCACTTGCCTAATATTCCATTTGTTGAGGATCAGTTCAGCAGTCTTTTGCCCCATACACAACCTGAAAAGACCCAGGGAGATTCTGCCCAGTGGATTTCCCCGCAGAAGTGGCAGCATCTTACCCTGCATGAAGAAGGAGCTAGGGAAAGTGCTGGCTGCTGGTTTCGAGGAAGGGTAGCCTGGCGAGTCCCTATTGTAGTCGGCAGTGCTTGCTGATGGAGCATAAACCTGAGGAAGGAGAGACAATTTAGTGTTGCTTGCTGCGTTGACCAAAGCACCACAATGTCCATTACGTGATAAGAAGCAGGCACAAAATGCTACATTTCCATGTCTGTTCCAAATCTGATCAAACCCTACAACACTACCCCTTTCATAACACAGAAAAACAAAAAACAACAACAAAAATGCTGAGTAGATTTGTGTGACTGGAAAACCAGGGGCGGGGGATATTTTCCAGTTGTAGGCAAGAATACTGTAAATTATGTCTAGTTAAATATATTATATAATACCCACAGGGTTGTCCTATCCAAGCATTTTTTTTTTTTTAAACATAGATGGTCTCTGAGGTCATGAAAGGTGCAAACAGAAGGGCACGCATCAAGCCTCTCCCTTTTACTCTACCTTTCAATTAAAATGTTCACATGTGAGAGAAAGAGACAGAGACAGAGAAAACGAATGCGCTATCCAGACCACAGAAAGTGACAAATACATCTTGGAATATTAAATTCCCATAGTGTCAGCTTTTTGCAGAAATGCATGAAAAAGACCATTAAAAGCCCAGATCTACATAGACCACCAACAATCGGTATGTACACAGGAAGAGGGGGGAGCGCCCCTTTATAGTTCTTATTACATTTGTGTGTGCAATAAACTTAAAAAAGTGTGCCAAAATCCTAATTTACTGAACATTCGTTTACTAATACTCATGAGATTTGGGGAACAAGTCCTTTATAAAAATAGCCTGTGTATTTTCTTGTTTATGTTTCCTCTAAAGGAGGCAGCATAGTCAAAAAGCATAAATTCATAAGGTATAGTTTAACTTTAATTGGTTTCCCCCCTTGCCTTTTCTGCTAAATATAATTTTTTCAAATCCCTATTTTCTTTTGCTCCGAAAGTTCCTCTCTCCAGATGGTCGGAGAGACTGAAACACTGTCATCCTCTTGATGAAAATGGATACCTTCCTGCCTCCATTTTGAAGCAGGCAGCAGCTCACGAAATTGGCAGTGAGCCTACAGTGATATTCTCAGGTCACAGTAAAAGAAAGAGAAATTCACCAATAAAAAGGCAACTGCAGAGTTACCAAAAAATACTCCCATTTTTTTTTTTAACAGAGCACCGAATAAACACCCCAAGAAAAATTATATAATTGCTCTCAGAACACCATGAATCACAAACTAAGCATTAATACAAGGTTTAGGATTTCACAAAGGATAGGTCCACAGAGACAGATGTGGGAAAATATGCATACACATACATACATCAAATAAATGCTACATGTGCCCCACAGTGCCCTTGAAAATTGGGAGGTCCTGGAGACAGAACAAAACAAAAACAAACCAGAAGAATCCAGGCACACGTTAGAAAACAAGGGTTTTCTGCAGTCAAGGAGGGAGACAAGCCCCCTATTTCGCAGGCTATATTTCATTTCATTTTGTAATTCTCTTTGAATTTTCAATATATAAATGTCTATTTGCTTCTATTTGCACAGGGCTTGCAATAAGGAAGACATCTTTTTTAAGCATCTTTAAGAGACAAAGAATAAACCTTAAGCCAGGAAATCTCCAAACAAATCAATATCCTTAAAGTTTTGTGATGCAAAACCCAGTATTTTCTTGAGAACTATCTACAGCTAATAAACAGTTTGGGAAATACTACTGGATGTATTTAGAGAAGGTCTTGAGAGTAGGCTAAAAACATGAAATAAACATTACTGTCTAGAAAAATGGGAAATTGAAAATTAGAATATCTCATTCTAATGACAGAATGAACTCAATACAGCTACTATACCTACCACCATTACCTACGGTCCGGGCTACTAGATGGACAGCTATACTATGTGTCAGTCCCAAATTTTAGAGATCAGCATATTTACTATAAAGCTGAAAATAAACTCTGACCCCTATTATGGAATCACTTTATATTTTAAAACAATTTGAGTAAGTTCTTTAGGATAATATATAGTTTAATTTTAATTATACTCTACTACAATATCTTTAAATATGCCTATGATTAGGTCAATACCATCTGAGGGCACCTAACGAGGTTCATCTTTTTTCCCCAATGTGGGCAGAATTACTTGATATTTCTTCCGGGAGAAAAGGATAAATCTTTGGTAATTCTGCCCGCATACAAGGAGGCTCTTGGACTATGAATTACAATCAAACTCAAAGATCTGAGAGTAAGATTACTCATCCCAAATTCCTAAGTACCACCTGCATAACAAATATCTATGGGCTTACAAAGTTTTTAGGATATATCATACTACATAATTTCTATTTTTCTGGTGTTATGGTCAAAGGAACACTTTTTAGATAACAGGAAAGTCTTATTATCAAGAAATAGGCCATGTGTATAGAAAAAAGGCAATTTCTGCATATTTTACAAATTTTCATTATACTGTAAATTTACAGATCAGGTAAAATGTTATTCTCTTTCCATTTAACGTACTCCATCTTTCCCACCAAAGTTATTTTTAAGGTGAGCAGCCTACAGAATTATTTAGAGAAATGTAATCCATGAACAGAACTATTATACTTTTTTAAAAGATTTTATTTTTAAGAAATCTCTACATCCCACCTGGGACTCAAACTCAAAACCCCGAGATCAAGAGTCATATGCTCTATCGATTGAGCCAGCCAGGCACCCCAATCCTTCTTAAAAATAGAAGGAATTAAAAAATTTATTTGGTTCGGCTCCCCCCTCATTTTAATTATAAGGAATTCAAAAATGGAATGGTGAAAGCCACCATTCAAGATTTGCAATTTGCTCGACATAAACAACAAGCAGTTGCTCTTTCTTTAAAAATGGTGGTGGAGATAGAAGATGATATTTACAAAAACAGACTGATCATAACATTCATCCTTCACTTTATCCTTAATGTTTTCATCTCTAATAACCTGGATGACCAGGAAGCTGCATTCTTATTTTTACTTCAGTCAACTATTTTGCCAATTTCTCCATGAAAAGACTCCAAAGTATGGGTTTCAATAATGTATTTAATAGAGATACTAAATTCAATAAGAAAAGCTCACATCCAATTAGTTTTAATTATTACTATTTTAGGTAACTGGAAAGATGGCAAGTATTTGTTAACTAAAATAGTTTTTTATTTAACAGGACAATGATAAACATCCCAGATATCTCCAAATAGTTGGAGTCATTTTAATGACTAATATTAAAATATCAGGCCAGTGAAAAATGAAAGAAAAAATCCCAAACTCTAGTTCAGTGTACTGAAGTGACCCTACCTCTGAAACATGAGAATAAGTCTAAAGGGAAACAAAAATCTATACTTAGTTTTTCTCTGATAAGGTAGCTTAGGTCAAGGTGACTTTGCATTCTTATTCCTCTCACTAGAGAAACCAAAGAAGGGTGAAATTTTTGTTACAGAATTGGAAATGAGGAAACTTGGCCAAAGCTCATAGGCTACTGCTCTTTTTGTGAACTGCTTGTGGAATAAAAGTTTCATGGGGAGCTAATAGCAAAGTATAGTTTATGCCCAAATTTAGCACTATTATCTTTTCTCTTACATTTCAAAATCATAAATATAGAAATTCTGAGTTTAACCAATCTCTCCAGATAACACCAAAAACCCTGCTCTGATAAAAAATTAAAAATATATATTTTTTCATTTTACATATTTAATGTTTGTCGTAATTTGAGAAGAATTACTATATTACATTAGCTGTTCCATCCGATGTTCCTGGTTCTCCTTTGCTCAGTCATCAAAGAAATAATACGATACCGTCTTTTAAATAGAATCTCTGCCTATTAGGCCAGAAGAAAACCAAGCAAATTTGCAAAATGAAGGGAGCACAATGCATATTCTACCTTTCCCCTTGATGTTCTCATTTTTATCTGTCTTGGCAGATCAGTTTCACTTACGAAGATTTAAAAAATAACAACGAGCCAATTGTTTAGGGTCTCTTGTGGAATAGCTTTGGTGCACGGAGCTCTACACACTCTACTTCTGGTTTTCCTAAGGGTCATACAAGATGGTTGTTATGAATATCATCATTCACAGGGCTGAAGTATAGTAGAGAGATCAATTGTATTGGTCCAGACCAGCCTGGGTGTGACTGCAAGTCTCACCATTCATCAGTTAGACAACCTTGGACCTGGTCCTTTAACCTGTCTGACCTCCAGATTCCTACCTGTAAGATGGGAATGGCAGAACCTGCTATGCAAAGTTCTTACGAGAATAAAATGGTATTTGTGTGTGAAACTACTAGAAGAGTATGTGGCACGTATTAAGCATGCCAAAAAAAAAAAAAAAAGCCAAAACAAAACAAACAAACAAAAACAAAACAAAAAAAAACCCCATCAGACAATAGGGTTAATCTTGTGCTGCTACTGTTTTTATTATCTGAGAAAATGTGACTCAGGAAGGTTAACCCACCTTTTCTACATTAACCATTAATCAAGTGGTAAAAGCAGGATTTAAATGGGTCATCAGAGTCTATATTCTTTCCATAAAAAGCAATTCCTTGCTCTTAAAAAGCAAAAAAAGAAAGAAGTGGTCTTTTTTTTTTTTTAAGGATTTTATTTATTTATTTGACAGAGAGATCACAAGTAGGCAGAGAGGCAGGCAGAGAGAGAGGAGGAAGCAGGCTCCCTGCTGAGCAGAGAGCCCGATGCGGGGCTCGATCCCAGGACTCTGAGATCATGACCTGAGCCGAAGGCAGTGGCTTAACCCACTGAGCCACCCAGGCGCCCCAGAAGTGGTCTTTTTAAACTATCAACACAAGGCTGTACTTTGACCACGGTTTATAGAAATATTCTGATGGGGATTTCATTATTACTTTTTAAGAAAATAAAATGTGATAAGACATGTTCATAGTAAAACCAATCTGTAGTAATGTTACTTGCTTCCTCAAGTGGGGAGCTAAGCTCTAAGAGGACAAAGAGAAGTGGCTACAGGTCCTGTGTCATGAGGTATGGAATTGAGGGAGGCTGGATGGTAACTAGTAGGATACACGATTCACCTTTAACATTCTTTACCATTACTA